GGGTTGCGCTCGGCGACGGGAAGAAAAATCGATAGGTGATCAGTCTATCGATCGGCAGCCGCAAGTCAGATAACTTCAGAGGCACTCTGCAGCGTGCTCAAAGCTCTTCGACTTGGGCGGAAGTCGCGCGGAATTTTAAATGGCCAGCGAGCCAATTACTAGCCTCCACGTGTGAATAATTTAGAACTGGCCAATAGCGGGACACAAATTTACATTCAAATAGCGGGAACTCTTTGCACCATGCATTTCTGTGCTGCAAGGAAGAAATGCATCCTGCAAAGGAAACTGCAAATTGGCGGGAACTCTCTCCTACATGTGGGTTCTCAATTGCAGCAGAACACTCTGCTGTGCAAAGGAGTTCTCATGTGGCCAAGAAATTCCATAGTGCCGAGGCACCAAAATCACTGGGTCGTGACACAGAGAAGGTTGAGAGGGGATCTAGAGGCCATCTATAAATTTGTCAGGAGCGGGGAGGGCAGGAGACAGCAAGGAATAGGAGATGCTCTGTTTACCAGGACACCCCTTGGAGTTACTAGAAACAACAGCCACAAACTGACAGAGATTTAGATTAGACATCAGGAAGAACTTCTTTACAGAAGGGTTACCAGAATCTGGAATGGGCTTCCAAGGGAGGTGGTGCTCTCCCCTACCTTGGAGGTCTTTAAAAGGATACTGGACAGGCACTTGTCTGGGGTCACCTGACTTCAGCATTCTTTTCTGCCCAGGGCAGGGGGTCAGACTCAATGATCTACTAAAGCCCCTTCTAACCTTAAACATCTATAAAATCTATGAAAACAGAAAACAAGCTAGTTAATTCAGTATGAAACATGCAAATATGTCACTCAAAAGTGTCTATTACAAATACATTTTTCTCTAAATTTTCTCATGATCGAGATCAGAACAGGGCCAGGAAAAGCTTTTGAAACTATGCCCAAAATGATTAGCAGTGAAGAAGTTATCAGTGTTCACATTCACATGACATCAGTACACTGAGAATTTAAGGGCCATCCCACACCCACGAGATGGTGGAGGAATATTGCATCTCTTACAAATACTGGACTAAAATTAATCAGTGGTGCTAAATTGTTCACTTTCTTCAATCACAGTATAACTGATATTGTTGAGTTTAACCTGTGCATGTGTATGCATTCATTGTGTCCATCTTTCTGAATTAAGTTCAGTGACTGTGTTGGCTCCTTGGGGAGGAGAGTCTTAAAAACAAGAAATAAAATAAAACAGAAACATTTAATTTCTAAGCAAGCTTCATTCAATGATGAAAAATGACTGGTAAAGTGTAACAGTGACTACCAACTGAGCTGCAGCTTTGCATGTTGGGTAAGCTTCTTTGAATACCACCCTTATAAAATAAATTTATGGAGTTTTAAATCCTCCTACTAGATTTAAAATTAAAATTATTTACCAAAAATGCATAATTCTATTGAGAAAATGTATTTCCTCCTGTGTTTGGAGTTAAATTAAAATAATTTTTGCACCATTTACTTGCTGCCTTGCACAGTGGCAACATTTATCTCAACAGAATCCTGACAATATGGTCTGGTGGCTTTGTATACTATGCAAGCATTACAACTGGAAGCAATATAAACCCCATAATGCTGGGCATTGCCTGTCTCAGTAAGCAAACGCATCCCTACACCAGTTCACTGGGAGCAGGCATGTTACCTCTCAGTATAGCAATGCCCTCCACAATGTAAACATCAAAGGTTAAAGTCTGCAGGAGTCCAAGAGTTCATAGAATTACTATGGTTATGCTGGGCCAGTTTCCGTAGCCTGCCTCACACAAAGAAGTGACTACTAGCATTATGTCCAGCTACCTTATACTCACCAGCCTGAATGACCAACTCCTCACAGCTAAGTTAACTGGGGAGACCTGTCAAAGTGAGTCTAGAATGAAACTTCAAACTCATTCTTTCTGAAGCCATAATGTGCACATCTACCCTGCCTTCTGCCTAAAGTAAAACCAACCATGCACACCAGAAATGATTATTCCTATGTAAGAAATCCTTATACTTCAGAAAATCTGAACAGAAAAGTGATTTCAAACTTTATTCAAAATCTACCTTCCTCAGTGCTGATCCCACTATAGTTTTAGTTCCCATCATCGGTATCTCTGTAATAACAGTTGTCCTCTCTCAGGTACTCTTATGGGTGCACCTACACATTCATTAATGCACAGTGATTACTGCACATTTAATATAGTACTTGTATAATCAAGTACTAAATTAAATATGCAGTAACCAGAGTTACTATGCAGTAGCGCTGCCAAATGCCTTTTTAGTGACAGTACTGCCCAGCAGCCTAATAATACTGCTCAGTAGCACATTAGCACTGTTTGTGCTGTGACGCACTACTGCACAGTATTATTAGGCTACTGCACAGTTAACAGATGCTATCATTTCAAATAACAACACAGTTGTCTGCCTCAGAAGGGCTCCTTGACTAGCCCTAGCCATCCCTTTCTAAGGTCAGTAGAATTTTGCATGCCACAAGATATGGAAGAATCCAACAAGGCGCTTCCCCAATTTCCACCCTGTTCTTGCTTTTACCTCCTCGCAACTGCCTTCTCCTCCTATACAGCACTTCCCTCTGAGTGTTCCTACACCTGCCTGTCCACTGCTTTGCCTCATTTACAGCTCCACAGCCTTTCATCCCTGCACCATGGCTGTTATATATCAGATTATGGAGTAAACACAGTGACTTGGGGACCCTGATAAAAACCGCCCCTTTTTCAGCTGTTATGGAAGGTTTCTTAGGTCCTCACTATCATGTCTGATCCACCCACATCCAAAGGAAGCTCTGAACTAGAGTGTGTCCCAGGTGAGATGGGAAGAGCCAATTCTGAGATGGAGGAATTTGATTGGCTATGATCACAAAATGTCTCCATCGCTCTTTCATCTGGAGTTTGGGTTCTTTGCCATGTAACAATTATGCTAAACAATCATTTTCAGGTATCAGTTATTCAGAACCAGCTCCTCCTTCATGCCAAGAATGCAGGAGCAGCAGCCCAAGCGGGTACAGGGCACTCAGCAGGGGCTGCACAAAGCAGGGGCTGAATTCTCTATGGCAACAATAGGCACATAAATGGGGAAAGGACATATGCCCTGCCAGGACCTTCTCCTCACATAACACCCCCTCTGAGAGACGGAGAACTACCCAGGTAACAACTGCACACCCCTACGTATGTTCAGTACAGGGGATATAATGTACACTATTGCTGAGACAAAAGAGCAGTGCAGACACTGAACTGCAACTGTCCTACAGAGGAAAAGAATGATCTGTAAGCCTTACTCAGTGTCATATCTGGGTACCTGCTGGTTCCTCTGTCCCCTCATCCCCCAAGGAGGGCAGCTGGGGCCATTTTCCAGCATGGTTCTGCGCTTTCTGAATGAAATGAAACCTTCTCCAGAGGTCCAGAATAGTATCTACATACCACTTACAACCCTGTGCTGGGGGCTGTGGTATAGAACTTAACACAGGGATTTGCTCCATCCTTCACCCTCCACCTTCCCCTTCGCACGCAGTGCCTGGGCACAGAATGACCTGGAGTCCATCCCTTCAGACTACTTCAGGAAAGCTGACCTTCCTTCCCACCATGAGTAAGAGAATTCCTGCCTTTATGCCCTTTCCCAACCTCAGTCCTCTTGACTCTGGTAGGGACAACCCGGCACTGCCGACCTCATCTACTGCACAAATAACTTTAGTCTCCAGGCACACTGAGTGGCTCCGTTTTTGTTTTTGTTTTTTCAGAGCCAAACCCAAAGAGACTTCTAAGCTCCTCCAGCCTACAGACCACTATCCCATGCTCCTTATCCACGTGAGCACCAATGACACAGCTTGGAGTGCTCCCAGCCAGGTCGTGAGGTGCTACAGGGATTTGGGAGTGGGGCTAAAGGGTCTGGGGGCACAGGTGGTGTTTTCTTTGATCCTCCCAGTCTCGGGCTATGGGCTGAGGAGGGAGAGGAGAATCCAGGTAGTTGAACAAAGACTGCAGTGCTGGTGTCATCAGGAAGGCTTTGGCTTCCATGACCACAGTCCGCTCTTTGGTGAGAGAGGCAGCGAGCTGCTGGGAAGAGATGGCCTCCACTTTTCTCCACTGGGGAGGAGGCTCTTCTCAGCCAGACTGGCTGACCTGCTCCACCAGGCTTTAAACTAAGCCCGCTGGGGGACGGGGGGCCTACTGCCATTGCTGGCCTGCTGAGCAATCCTTGCAAAACCAGCGGGTCAAGGCACTTAAGGGAGCCCACCCCTGCTCCAGCCCTGGTAAAATCTGTGGGCAAGGAAGGAGCCCCCCAGGGGGCACTTGCCTGCCTGTACACAAATGCCAGGAGCTTTGGGAATAAGCAGGAGGAACTCATCCTCCTGCTCGATGCAAATAATTATGATGTCATAGGGATAATGGAGACCTGGTGGGACTCCACCCATGACTCTGGGTTAAAATCCATGGGGAACACGGCACAGGGGACACAATGGTGGGAGTCTACTACAGACCTCCCACCCAAAGTCAAGAGCTTGACCAGGAGTTCGACCAGGAACTGACTGAGGCCACATGCTCCAGAACCATGGTTGTCAATGGTGACTTCAGCTACCCAGACATCAAGTGGGAGGATCACTCAGCAAAATCTGAGTGGTCACAAAGCTTCTTACCATGCGTGGATGACCTCTACCTGACTCAAGAAGTCTACAGGCCAATGAAAGGTAAAGCGCTGCTTGACCTGGCACTGGCAACTGGGGATGACCTAATCAGTGACCTAGTGATCAATGGGAAGCTGGGTGACAACGACCACGAGCTGATCACCTTCACCACCTGCCGTAAATCTGGAAAGTCAGTCAGCAACACTGAAGTCCTTGACTTCAGGAAAGC